CGTAAATCGTTGTGGTCAAGAATAATGAGGCAGCTACAAGCAAAATAACCCTGAAATTGTGACGAATCCTCCAGTTGTGCACTTGGTCGTCGAGAGCTTTCATGGTTGAGGAAAGGCCCATGGCCATGCGGGTCGCAACTGCGCCACAGCTGCTTCTTTGACCAAAGTGGTGGTTGGGGGGAACTCGTCAATGCTATCCTCGTTCCTCATCAAGTATACGGGTATTTGAGCAAAAATAGTTGTGGTAAGGAGTCAGATAAGTCATTACCAAATCTATTCAAACACATTTTTATGTGTACCCACCATATCATGGTATACAGAAGCTCTATTGACTAGTAATTATTGTCGTGTATCTATTGTCTACATAATATCTACTTGCTCTCTTGGCTTGGAGATAACAGCGACGACTTTGCTGTGCATATCAAACACCTCTCCCCCTTGCCATACGACCATCTCTCGCTGTCCTTTAAACTCCAATCCAAGTAGCTTCTCAAGGTTAACTGATATCAGACCCAAAGCCGTCTCCCTGTCGAGATCACCACCGGCATTGATTGCTTCCCAGGCGGCATCAAACCAAGCATTCCGGGCTTGCCAATTTTCCTCGATTCCGAATCCTACTGTGACGTTATTGTCCAGGAACACTTGAACGGCGGACTTGCTTGTGAGTGGAAGACCAGGAAGGCTATAAAAATTGAGAATATATCCGCGAAATCAAAGGAATTCTTACATGTGTTGACCCGACCATCGAGTAGGGAAAGGTCGTGGTCTTGTCAGTATCACTCCTACTCCTGCAGCTCCGAGTTCCTTTGCTAGTAAGTGTGCTTCTGCCCCTCCGGATATCGTCAATTTAACCTCAGCTTCTACCTTCTGACTTAGTTCGTCCAGTAGGTCCAATAAAGTCGCAATGACGTCCACATTATCCGTATGAACCACCAGAGGAATTTGCCCATCTGCCACCATGCTGAAATACTTTCCAATCGTGCCTTTGCCCTTTCTGGACAGCAAGTGTCGAAGGGCAGCAATTTGGCTAGAGACACTAGGCTTTTTCTTGTCATGATCGATAGTCACGTGTAATGCTGCAACGCTTTTGACAATAGCTCCTTTTAATAGACGGTTTTGGGCGCCGACACTGAATGCCACGCTGAGTCCCCCTATGAAAGACGAATGCACCGGAGCAGTAACAGCAGTTGTGACCCCATTACGATAGGCCAGCCTAGTCTGGTGATGAATAGATGAACAATAATATGTCAAGTCACTTACAATGTATCTCTTCCGTTAAATTGAAGACCATCAGCAGCCCGCATCAGCGGTTCGTCCCCAATGATTTCAGGTACCTCCTCCTTGAAAGGCGCAAATGCAACGCCATCGTTGGTGGATGACTCTGCTTCAATCTCGATAAGGCCGATACTACCGCCATATGAGAGGAAACCAGGAGCTATCACACCCCCTTGCACGTCGATGGTTTCAAAGTTAGAGAGCTGTCTTTGATGATCTGTACATTGGGCTTCCACGCCTCGGCAAATAATCTC